CTCAGTAAAATTTACATCAGGTCATGTATGAAAGTCGATGCTCTCTACTTCCGTGCCCCATTTGAGCTGACCGGAGGCCAGACAAAGTGACACCCCTGCCTGTTTTAAAAGGTCAAGGCCGATGATTCCATCAAAAGAGGACAAATCTGGTAAAATGAAGAATGTGGCCTTCAAGTTGAAAATTGACACGAAACATTTCTTCGTGATGTTGGTGACTCCATGGATCGAATGAACCTTGAATGGAGATTCTACCGGGCGGACGCCTTTCAATCCTTCGTATGGTCGGATGAAATTTTTGGCCGCGCCCGTATCAACTAAAAATTTCATGTCAATCCCCGCTACTCTTCGTCTGATGACGGGTAGCAGGGATCTTCCCTAAAAATTTATGGCATCCGAGTCGTACTCGTTGATGGCGTCGTCGTCGATTTCTTGTGCCGCGCTAGAGGCCGCTGTGGTGTACGTATCACCAGCTCTGTCAGCGCTCTGGGCAATGTGGTTTACCCTTTGCCTTTTTTGTGGGTTGGCTCTATCGGACGCTGTCTGCCTCCTATTCTGGTATGCCGGGGCTTGTGATGGTTTAAGCATCTTAGACAATGATGGATCCACTTCCATGGGTTCTGGAGTGTGTCCCCGGTGCCTATCGCTGCGTGGAGCAGTGTGCACTTGTGCCTTGTGTTGTTTAGTAAAATGGGGGTTTTTACCGCCACTATGTTGGGAATTAGCCTGAGGGGCAGCCTGCTGACGCTCTTGCGCCTTGGGAAATTGTTTTTTCTCCCTATCTTCCTGGCTTCTTGCAAATGATGATGCAAAGGTATACCTATCATGGTTCGCCTCCACCTCTTGAGCCAAGGCAAGTGCCGATGGCATGTCCATGGGCTTCGCCGCGAAGAGGACGTCAGTGAGGTGGTGGCTAAGTTGCCGTTCCGAAAGACAAAAAGAGCGAAGTTAACAAAATCGGAATACAAACGTCGCGGTGTCGAGTTCGAGTGTCGTAGTGGGGTGGGTAAGCGATGGAAACGAAAACAAACCCAAGATTGTTGCGAAGCTAACACAAAGAATTTAGGCGTAAGCAAAAAGACGACTACATATAAGGGGTAAATTAAATGTACAATTAATAAATTTATTTTCCAGCGGCGCCTTTGCGTCTAGGCTGGGTATTAAATATGTGGTCTGGTAGTTATATTGGCGCTAATATTCGGCACCAAGATATTTATTGAAAGATTTTAAAAAATGCAAACAATGAAAAACATAAATAATATCACTTGTGATTACACCAATAAAATTGTCAAACAATTAGTGAGTACGTTTATTTATAAAAGTGTTAGCACGAAACTCTAATATAGAGCTGCAGAAAATATAGCGTATTGAAATATATTACTAATGCAGATGCCGGAAAACTTTTTGGAACAGAAGTGCTCACTTACATGATTTCCCCGACTTAGATGGGTAATTTTTACGTGGGCGCCAATTAGAATGAGTCCCCTGGTAGCTCTCGTTATGTCGTCAGCGGGAGGGGGTGTGCCAGGCCGGTAGACCTAGTGTTCTTCCTTCCTTCGTTAGGGGTTGTGTAGCGCACCAGGCAGGTACGCCTAGCGGTCTTCTTTCACTTGTTGAGAGTTATGTAGGGAGGAACTACCTCCGTTATCGTTGGCCCTTAAGGCACAACAACCAATAATAATAAAAGTAATTTTCTGTATGACGGCGGTGCCGGAATTCAAATTCGAGAGCGATGGCTCTGTCTTTATTGAGATTTATTTTAAGCAGGGAGAAAGGTCGTTTCGATGAAGTCGGGCATGGCCGCTGAGTCTGTTGAGCTGTCTCGCTAGTAGGTTTGGGTGTGATGATAATCTTGTTTTGTAGTTCATTTTTATACCTGTTACTCGTAGAGTAAAAGGGTATACTAGATTGGTTAAAAAGTATATAACAGATAGAAGAAGGCGTTTCCGACCCTGGAAAGTATATACATATGTATATTCTTGATCAGTATCAATAGCGAAGACGATTGAGCCATGTCCGTCCGTCTGTCCGTATGAACGCTGAGATCTCAGGAACCATAAAAGATAGGAAGTTGAGATTAAGCATGAATAATCTCAACTTTGTATCTGTTATAGTTCCTGAGATCTCAGCGTGAATACGGACAGACAGACATCGATGGATCGACTTCGCTATTGATCCTGATCAAGAATATATATCTTTTATACGGTCGGAAACGCTTTCTTATATCTGTTACATAGTTTCCAACGAATCTAGCATACCCTTTTACTCTACGAGTAACGAGTACCATAATTCTGCTTTTCAGTAATTAAGTATTTAAAATAATGTATTCAGTAAATAATAATTAAATATAATTTGCTCTGCTCTGATCTCGCTCTCCATTTTCGGCTATTGCTCCAAGCAGAGCAGAGCAGATAAATTTTCTTTTTTCTGCTGTGGTTCTGATCCGGTTCTCGTCAATGTTAGGGCGGTAGCAGTAGCAAAACTAAATATGTACTACGGGAGTAGCGTAGCTTTTTGAAAGCTGTATAAAAATGTATAAAAATAAATGTATACTAGGAACCGGTATAAGCACATAAAAATGTAATTTTTAATACTTTCCATTAATAATACATGTAAGATAGTGGCTTATTTAAAATCTCTAAGCATGATGACTTATTTTCGTTACATGATTACTGTTGAAGAATTTATTATTATTGTATTATTGTCAAACCGCACCTAGTTAAATACCCATCATTGTATTGTTCTTCTAATCGTAGCTGGTTAAATGCACATCATTGTTTTGTTTTTCGTCTCAAATCTTGAAGCTCACACGCATAGACGAAATTGCAGTAAATTTGCATTGGTTTTTGCGTTTTCTGCATTATCTTTTCTGCACGTTTTTTCGGCAGTTATTGTGTAGTTTTGTACTCGCTCGCTACCGCTTGCAACCTGCCCCGCTTAATATACATAGTTTTTGTACTCGCTCGCAACCGCTTGCAACCTGCCCCGCTTAATATACATATATAGTTTTGTACTCGCTCGCAACCGCTCGCAACCTGCTCCGCTTAACATTTTGTAAACCCGCTTATAATTAAGAAATAAACTCGAATCCTAGAAAAAAGAAATACAGTCCACTTAATTCGCCAACATAACAAATTTTTGGTACTTTGAGTAGGATCTTCTGCGTTTGAATTCGAGTATATTTGTGAATAATAAAAGACAAACTAGCCGCTGTTTTTCGTCATGAACTCTGTAATGCATCGGGCAATTCAACAACGTCGTGCCTGCAAGGGGCACATAACTCGTACCCTTTACAGTACTTTGGAGTTTTCGCAGGAATGTGATAATGTGGAAACATTGCAACTGAAGCTGGATCGTCTTGTAGCCACTTTCAACCACTTTATGGACCTCTCCGATGATTTAGTGGTATATAACCAGGAGGAGGGATATGAAGACCCTGGATTGGATATACCTGAGTACGAGGACAAGTTTTACAGAGCGCATGCCATCTTTATTAAAGCCATAAACGAGATGGGTGGTCAAGATCATGGACAAGACCAGTCGAACATTTTGTTATCAAGTACAGTGGAACGTCTATTTGAGGGACAAAACCAACTTCTGGAACGAATGAATACCTCATCGGGAGCAGCTGATTTAAGGTTTGAGAAAATTCGAATTCCCACATTTTCTGGCAAATACGAGGATTGGAGCCAATTTAGTGAGTTGTTCTTAAGCTCAGTAAATAATAACGAAAAGCTTTCCAAGTGCCAAAAGTTTTATTATCTGAAATCTTATTTAGATGGGGAAGCACTTTCCTTAATTAAACATATTGCCGTTACTAATGATAACTACCAAGATGCGTGGGGAAAATTGGAAAATCGTTATAACAAGAAAACGCTAATCGCTCGAACATTTGTTCAAAATTTTCTATCGTTGCCAACCGCTAACAATTTGAATATCGCAGAGTTACGTAAGGTAATTGACTCTGCCGACGAATGTATTCGAGGCCTACACGTGCTGAACTGTGACAGCCGCGATGTGTGGCTAATTTATATTTTGCTATCCAAACTAGGACCCAAAATCAAACAAGCTTGGGCAAACTGCAGTGTGTCGTCCAAGGAAGACGTCACCATATATGATCTATTCGCTTTTCTTTTTGCGCATTGTGATACCTTGGAGTCTTGTCAAAATATACACGTAATGCAACCCTCAAGACCAGCCCAGAGTAGAACCCACCAAGCCGATTATCATGCAAGTGGATCAAATCAGTCTTCTCGCGATTGTATATATTGTCAAGGACAGCACAATATATACGCATGTACTGCATGCAAAGCCCTGGATGTCGTAAATCGCCGTACCTTTGCCAGGGATACTAAGCTTTGTTTTAATTGCCTAAGTCGATCTCATCAAGTCAAGAATTGTAATTCTTCGAACACTTGCCGTCAGTGCAAGGCTAAGCATCACACGCTAGTCCACCCGGAAGTGTCTAGATCGATTCCGTTGGCGTCCTCCCATATGTCTGCGGCTGAGGCTAATATATTTCCTTCCATTGATCCTGATGTTGGTATGAATACTGCTGCTGTCATCCATGATACTGTGGAGAGGGCCAACAATCAAGTCCTACTGCCAACTATTCTAGCTAATGTAATTGACACATGTGGCAACAAGACCTCATGTAGGATATTGCTCGATACTGGATCAATAATAACCATGGTAGCTGAGTCGTTTATCCAACGGATTGGAATTCCACGCACGCATGCTCGCATCTCAGTTGTTGGATTAGGTGCTAACCCGGCTGGAGTTAGCCGAGGTCGCGCTAGCTTCACTTTGCTTTCAAGGACCACGACTGCCTCATTGGAGGTCTCTGGCCTAATTATGAGTTCTCTAACTTCTTTGATTCCCGCTCAGCAGGTCAAATCCACCGCTTCTGTCTGGACCAAAATTCGCAACTTACCGTTAGCTGACCCGACGTTTGGATTACCGGGAAAAATCGACGTTATTTTAGGCGCTGATCCCTACATACTAATTTTGGTTGGGTCATTACAGGCAGCTATAATGATTGTGGCGAACCATTTACGAAAGCACAAGTACACCACGCTTACGAAGATTTGGATTCCCTAGCTCGCTCTTTTATGGACATGGAACAGGTGCATCCGCAGCCGAACCGCAAGGGGATTCGGTAGCAACCTTCGGCCTTGGCGAGCGCTCTGCATGTCACTGCCAGATTGGCGGCCAGTGTGGATGCCTATACGGCGGCGGCTACAGCCACAGCGGCAACCGGCGACTACGGCGATCATATGCGCCAAAATTCCGAACCTCAGTCAAATCCAGCAACAGCCCCACCAGACCACCCAGCTGCACCCGCACCAACTGGAGAATCTCAGAGCGATCAATTTTCTTGGGTCGTCGCGGTACCTCTATCACAGCCAGTTCAATTCAAATTCGCCGCAAACGAGACGCTTCACTGCGCAGCGAGACGGCTCGCCAGCATTCGCGGATTCAGCGATAGCAGCTACAGCGGCAGCAGCTTCAGCAGTAGCACCAATAGCGCCACTAGGATCAGTCGCACCACTATCCTCCATAGCATCGCCCTCATTGGGGGCCCAGCCGCCGCCCTTTCAGTTGCCTACCTACCAACAGAATCAATCCTACCGCTTTCAGCCGCGCGGACATCACCGCACCGCCAGCAGCAGCATGTCGAAGTCCGGCGAGGATCTCCACTGGCCCACGTATCTATCCTGGAGTAATCTTCAGCTGAGTCGGGCCAAGGCTTCCAGTAAGATATCAGCCCTGCTCTCAGGATTTGCCATGGTGGCAATGGTGGAAGTGCAACTGGATCCCGACACAAGTGTACCACCGGGATTGCTGATAGCCTTCGCCATCTGCACCACCCTCCTGGTGGCGGTGCACTGCTGGCCCTGATGAGCAGCATCTGTATCCTGCCAAACGTCGAGACGGTGTGTAACCTGCACAGTATTTCCCTGGTCCATGAATCTCCGCACGAGCGTCTGCATTGGTATATTGAAACAGCGTGGGCCGTCTCCACGCTACTGGGACTTATACTTTTCCTGCTAGAGATAGCCATCTTGTGTTGGGACGAGTCGTACAACTTCATCCTGGGCAGGATCAGAGGCCCCATTACGAATTTGTGCTTCCTTTGAACTGAACCGTCGTTCAGGGGGGCCGGTATGTTGAAGAATAGATCGGCCATTTATCATTATTGTATTATTGTCAAATCCCACCTAGTTAAATGCCCATCATTGTATTGTTGCTCTAATCGTAGCTAGTTAAATGCACATCATTGTTTTGTTTTTCGTTTCAAATCTTGAAGCTCACACGCCTAGACGAAATTGCAGTAAATTTGCATTGGTTTTTGCGTTTTCTGCATTATCTTTTCTGCACGTTTTTTCGGCAGTTATTGTGTAGTTTTGTACTCGCTCGCAACCGCTTGCAACCTGCCCCGCTTAATATACATAGTTTTTGTACTCGCTCGCAACCGCTTGCAACCTGCCCCGCTTAATATACATATATAGTTTTGTACTCGCTCGCAACCGCTCGCAACCTGCCCCGCTTAACATTTTGTAAACCCGCTTATAATTAAGAAATAAACTCGAATCCTAGAAAAAGGAAATACAGTCCACTTAATTCGCCAACAGTTACAAATTATTTTTTAATGGAGATAATAAAAAACAAGCTAAAAATAAAATTTCTGCACTTATACACAAAAAGAACATTATAAAATTAAAAATGTATACATAAATAATTTTTTCCGGATGGTAAATTTTTCTATAATCTTTATTAATATATTATATATAAACACATAAAACCTAATATGAATATTTACCTTCAGGAATTCCAGCTATGGCAGGTAGAGCTATAATAGGAGGAGTACTCTTGGCTCTTATCGAAGGTGTTGGTATATTATTTACTAGAATTTCTGCTGACCAGTTTAGAAATCCGGCCCCGCCGGCAGAAGACCCTGCAGTGCTTGGATATCCTGGAAGCAATTTTTCTTTTGGATCCAACTCCAACCAAAAAGAATATCAGTGAAATTTATTAAAATTTTAATTATGAAATGACAAAAAAGACTATATTATTTAACAATATTAAAACTGATCTGGTCATTTGTCGTTATTAAGTTGACGCAATGAAACATTTTTATTATTATAAGCTGATGATGAAGTTACTGCCCATTTCAGGCCCTTCGCCTGGCGAGCATCGACCGAGGACTGCAGAGAGGGAATCCCCCACCAGCTCTATCATATGCCTC